CCGCAAAAATCCTCAAAAGAATGTTAACTCCTTCGCATTTTCTACGAGACATCTCGACCGTGGAGTAATACGTAAAAAATATTGAATTATAAACGTGACAAGTCTTATAAATATGTGAATATTTTTAATTAAAAATAGCTGAGAAAGGCTTAATATATAGCTAAATATTTTACTACTTATATTTAAAAAATTAATATAAGCTTGCATTTCGTTTATAAACTTATATGTTGAATAATTGCTGTAGATAAAAATTGAATATCATTTATATGAGTCAGCTCATCATTAATAAATATCGTGTGACAAATTCTATTTGAAAAAAGCATGACAATAAATGTCTATGTAAATGTAATGTTTCAATGTCAGAGTATCATCTATTTTAACAGTATCAGCAAAAACATATATTTCTTTTTCAGTATATCAAGAGATCGATGAAAGGTCTGGGTTGGACGATCGAATCAGATGTATTCCAAGCTCGCACGCCTGTATTCGGCGAACTGAAGTTTGAAAATATAATAGCAAAATTAAATCCTAATGCAAGAAGATACCTGACACTGGCTTGCCATTATGATTCCAAGTATACGAGAGAGAGGAATTTTGTTGGAGCCACAGACAGTGCTGTGCCATGCGCTCAACTAATTAATTTGGCAACTGTCATGAGAAAATATTTGACTAAACAAGTAAGAATCACAAGATTCAGCTCATATGTATAAAACTTTGGAAAATTTATATTTATATTTATATTATATTTGTCAGCAAGATGTTAGCTTAATGTTCATTTTCTTTGATGGAGAAGAAGCGTTTGAGGAATGGGGTCCAAACGATTCGATTTATGGTGCTAAACACTTAGCTAAACAATGGTATAATAACAAGACTGCTTACGGTGAAGGAATTGATTTATCTGAATTGGATAAAATGGTATATATCGTATTTACATTGTCAATTCAGAAATATTAAAATTTATATATTTTCATTACTATCATGTACTTATTATAATTGTTTAATATTTGTATATCTTTTTTACAGGACATGTTGGTCCTCCTCGATTTGCTAGGCGCACCTGATCCGACTTTTTATAATTATTTCAAAAACACTGAGAAATGGTACTCTTATCTTGTCAGTACTGAAAAAAAATTATCTCACTTGAGAAAATTTGACTCATATTCATATAATAGACCAGAACAAAGGTATTTTCAACCGTACTCGTTCGATCCACATATCGAAGACGATCATATTCCCTTTTTTCAAAAAGGTAAATATTTATTATTCATGAGAAAATCAATTTATACACATTTCTACTGTAAAGTGCATTTTCTATTTTCTAGACGTGCCCATTTTGCATGTAATACCGACTCCATTTCCGCCCTTTTGGCATAAATCTGGCGACAATCGACACAATATCGACTTGAAGACTACAGAGAATATCAATAAGATACTTAGGATATTTGTCGCTTCGTATTTACACTTGACGACTGTCTAACAAAATTAAGAAATGCTGTACGTCTCCCGAAGAAATAATTACAACTGTACTTCTTCTATTCGCCAATCCTAAAATATATACAAACCATATCAAGAAAAAGGTCTAAACATAAATTTATGGAGGCACATCTTTACATATCTATCGGAAGAAACAAGAAATTCCAGACATCGTAATATTTAGAAAGGATTCTTTGCAAGGATTGAGCTTCACATAGCTTTTCTGAATTTTCACGTTGTTTGAAATAGACATTCCTTTTTTATGAACATCGTGATATATATATGATATTATATATGTATAATTTTGTATTATATGTAATTAATTTATTATATGGCTGCAGACGGTACAATATTACATATATATTATTATAGATAACGAATTCTAGGTATTTTTATATAAATTACAAATTAAAAATTATACTTTGTATATTAATTATAAGCATAGAATGTGCGTGAGAAAATGCAATATATTTTTGTTTGATAATTCTCGCGTGTTGTCACAAATCTCCTCACAACTTCTCAAGACCTCTTTGTGTGACGCGTTTCAAATACAAGAGATTTGTTTTTTATTGCTGTACAAGGAGTGTATTCCATCTGGTGCTCGCAAGCATAATTTATTTTTATTTAACATTTGATAAACAATGATTAAATGATTTCAAGAGCGGCAAATGAAATGCAGTCTAGACTGTACTAGAAATTTTTCTTCTCGTTTTTGCTAAAAATTTTAAACATATTCTTCCAAAACAAAAAGTGTAGATACTTTAGTATACCGGAAAAAATAACAGTGTATCATCAATATTATTTTAATCAAAAATAATTTTGTTAATTCAATAATAATTATTAATAAAACAAGTAAAATTTGTTTTATTAATTAAAAAAAATATATTTTTATTAAAACAAAAACATGACGTATTTGTTTCATTAAGTATTACTGAATTAACAAGATTACTTTCAATTAAAATAATTCTGTTAATATAATTTCATTTTCTCAGTGTAACACAGCTATGAAAAAACAAAAATAAAATTCATAAAATTAGAAAAAACAGCAAATACGAGTCAAGGACGCAGATGGTATAGCACAATAAATAAAATGTGCAAAAATTAAAACATAAACTAAATACTTTAATTAACAATTATTTCGGTTCTTTCTTTAAACCATCTTCAGAATGTTCAAAAAGTAAAAATAAAGGTGACGAAACAACCAAGCACAAAATTAAAAAAGAATAGATTATATCGCCGATCTCAAAAGTGAGAATTTCCTGACTAAGGAAGATAATGCCAAAATTTAGAATATTGACCAAAAAGTCCAAATCTCGAGCATGAATACCACTATAATTTAAATTTTATGAATTTTTGCGAGTCCGAATTAATGTTAAAAAAATAAAATTTATCATCGCCCGCTTTCTTTTCACGATAGTAATATTGAGGATCCGTTTGAACACAGTAAATGTCACGCAGGAAGTCGTGGAGACTCAAATGCGTGACGTCCTGTTACATGTCGGAATGAGTAGATTTAATACGGACATGCGTTTTACGTGTATTCACATTGATACACTCGCACGCGACATCCAATACGACTGCCAAAGCAACCGACTGGCTCGCTTTGTTTAGAACTTCTTACTCCATGCTCTTTCAAAATTTGAAGCTGCTATTGGAGCACATTTTTTATTCCGAAGCTTCACGATATTATTGTGGCAAAAATCATTTCGAAAATTTTCGCTATTTCGTCTTCGGAAAAAAAAAATGAAAATATGGCGGGAGAGAATCGGTACCGACAAAGTCGTTGATATTTGATTTCAACAGTTTCAATTAACAAGACGCATATACAAATTTGAATATGTGAATAAAAATCGTGCGACAGTCTTTTGCGCGTAAACATTCGACGTATACATTAGTAGAGCGAAAGTAATGCAATCTGTCGCAATATACAGGCGTGAGCGGCGAGTGACGCATTCGCAGAGGCAAAAAATTTGCGTGACGAAATGAGAAAGAGTGCGCGTCTACCTACCAGAGTAACGTATACATCACGCTTTTGTCGCTCGTATACGTAAAATCGATATCGTCGGGATGTCGTAAAACGTAAAGCATGGTCCGTAGTGAGACGCTATCTCAAAGCGAGGTTCTACCGACGATGAGAAGGTCGAAACGAGCGATTTCAACGATTTCCTCCGTTGGTAATAATGGTAATGGTCGCCGGATCGAGGTCATCGTTCGTTCGGGCGCGCCCGCCGCCGCGCAGTGTTGCCAAATTGAGCTACTTGTAGCCAATTGGGCTGGTTTGCAATCGTAGGCTGAGTTTCCATTGAGCGCGTCACGCGTCGCGTCGTCCATTGGGGGTGATCCCGATTGACCACGGCTCGATTGGACACAACCAATCACAGCGACCGGTGCTTAGGAGCTTTGTAGTCTCAAGCGCTGTGAGTGGCTCGTGTCCAATTGAGCCGTGTCCAACTGGGTGCCACCCAAGTAAATCTACATTGGTGGAAATAGGCATTAGCGAGCCAGATGCCTAGAGTTTTTTCCCAATAGGTTTTTCCAAAAGTGACAAATTTTCTATAATAATGCGGCTGGCACCCAGTTGGACACGGCTCAATTGGACACGAGCCACTCACAGCGCTTGAGACTACAAAGCTCCTAAGCACCGGTCGCTGTGATTGGTGGTGTCCAATCGAGCCGTAGTCAATCGGGATCACCCCTACATTTATTATACAAAGCCGTGTTCCGGTGTACACTTTTAGTACTAAAAAGTCAACGTAATGCGGGGTCTACACTAGAAGTCATAGTGGTCGTACAGTCTTAAGTTGTAAAAAATTAATCAATCGCAATCGAATATGAGAAGAATAATCGACAATGATTGGTCAATTTTCTACGACTTAAGATCCTACAACAGCTACGACTTCTATTGTAGACCCCGTATTACACAAACTACGTTGCGTTCAGAATCGTTGTCCGGATGCAGCCGGAGATGTCGTTTTATCCTTGTTGTTTACGAATGTTAAACAAGGATAAAAGAACATCTGAGTGCACCCAGATGATAATTCTGATCGCAACCCTGTAGATTTTTAGTACTGACAATGTATATCGGAACATGGCTATCAGTTTCAAATTTATTAAAAACTTGGGTTGGCTACTTTGGGGTATTTCAATGGCTGCGTTCAGCAGAAAAAGCAGCTTTGCAACCGTTGTAAAATTCTTGAATATATGATTGGTTTATACATTTAGATCTAATAAGGAACTAAGGGCAAGACCAATCATATTGAAAAATTTTATAACAGTTGCAAAGCTGCTTTCTCCGCTGAACGCAGCCAATTTCAAAATCGACTACTTGAGTTACTTGAGCGCCACCATTCGACTACTCCTGACGAAAACTATCTGGCAACACTGGCGACCGAAAGCCGAAAGAACTTGACGGAAACTCGGTGGGAAAGTCGACGCCGACCGATCGGACCGATCGTCGACACGACCAGACACGACGGCGGACGGCGGCGGCGCGAGAGACTAGAGAGAGAGAGAGTGAGAGAGAGTGAGAGAGACGCGATCAGCGATAGCGAGCGACGTGGAGTGATCGCGCGCGCACGCCTTCGTTTGGCTGTGGTCGCCTGTGCCGTGCCGTGTGCGTTTCGTTTCGTTTCGATGGTTCTTCGTTCCGTTGCGCGCGTATCGCACGTTTTCGCTCCGGCGCTCCGCGAAACCTGGGCGCCGCCCCGTCGTATCTGGACTTCTGGACCGCGATCGCGACTCCCGACCGAGCGTCCCTTGAAAAGAAGGTGTATTCGCGAGCAGTGATATACACGCGAGTCGGCTGACACATCGCGATCTCTCGAGCGTGACGAGGGCCGTCGTTGCACGTCGTGTCGTAAGCGCGCGAGGGAGAAGGAAGGAGCGAGTAGAGCGACGGTGGCGCGGGGTGGAAAACTGCCGGACGCGGGTGGATAATACCCGAAAGAGACAAGGGACACTGACGTGCGCGGGCGGCGTTATATCGGAACGCGCGGGCGCGCGCGTTCACCGCGACATAGCTTACATAGCCGACATAGCCGACATAGCCGTCGGAGATTGGACGGTAAATAACGCGGCGTCCTATCTCCTAATCATTCGTAATCGCGCGCGACGTTCATTCAATAATGCGTTAATTACGCGCGACCGCCGGTTAAACGTGCGTGTCGGTACTTGCGTGTGACGTGCGACGAGCTATATTCTCGCGTGGTGCTCACGAGAGAGAGAGAGACAGAAGAGCGTACAACGTTGAGCTGGGCTAACGGCGGATCGAGATGCTCAAGTTCATCAGGGGGAAGGGCCAACAGCCCACGGCCGAGCGGCAGAAGCTGCAGAAGGATCTCTTCGCTTTTCGAAAGGTGAGCGAAAGCGAGCGAGTGAAGGAGAGGGTGAGACAGACCCTCGGTACCCGTCACCCGGCGAGAAGGTTCTTCTTCGCCCACACCCGGTGCGAAACACGCCGCGAATGGGCGCAGAAACGAACGTCGGGCCTCGGGGGCGATGTTGCCAGACCAATCTGATCAAAATGATTCGACTCATTCGACTTGCTCGTCCGAGAGGAACTTCGAATGAATCGCTTGGTAGGATTTTCGTCCCTCCTTAGAAAAGCAAACATTGTTCGGAAATCCTATCGGACAGCTCGGGAAACACGTGCGCCTGTCCGAAATGCATGTGGCGTGTAAGAAAATCCATTTTCAATTCAATTCCGAACTAACGAAACTTTCTGTCCTTTCAGTACTTTTGTTGACGAGTTTCAAACTGTGGAACCTTAAGACGCGACATGTGTGGGAACTTTGTTTCTTCGTGGCATGATAAATCAAAAACATCTGTCAGTCGAAATATAAATAATTCTTAAGTACTTCTTTTCAATTCTGTAACTCGGAAATAGTTACTCGAAGTGATTTTTATATCCCAGCGAAAAAATGAAGCTTGGTTCTTTATTAATCGAGAAAATCCATGTTTATTCTTTTTATTTCTTACATAAAAAAAATATTAAATAATTTACGTACATAATGATCTCAACTACTTAATAATTTACAATAATTTATATAACAATCAATAATATGTAATTAATAACGACTTTTATGTAAAAAAAACACTGTAGGTGATTGTTTACAACAAAAAATTACGTTACGTTTGCAAAAAAAACTAAGCGACTATTATCCAATTTAAATTCCTTTCTCAAACTGTTTCTAAACTGTATAATCAATTTATAATTTTTACACACGTGTATTCTTGCCTTCCGAGCACTATATATTTTCTTACAGAAAGATGTTATTGAATTTTACTTGAAAGTTAAATTCAATAACAATAACTTTCATGAAGGTTAAGTCAACATTATAAAGCAAAACATACTCGTCGAATGATAATCGGAGTTATTGAAATTAAATAGCCGTTATTTTATGATGAATGAGTAAAATAAAATAAATGGAGTATTATACTGAAGAAAAAATTTATTTTTGTCAACACATGGTATCTCTATGTGCAAGAAAAATATATATTTTATGAATACGAAAAGACCAAAAGGCCGAAAATTTGATTGTATGACTCAACAACACATGATGTACAGAAGGGACTGTCTCCAGGCAACCATTTTCCTGAAAGGAATTTACCTGGAGTTCTTCAAAGGCACAGATACCATCACTAACATTAAAAAGTATATACAATAGTTTTCAAAAGCACTTAGATTACAAGTTCGGATGGTCATTCATTTTGAAAACATATTGAGCCATGTAATCAGACGATTCTCATAGATTAATCTTTTTATAAGATTTATTTTTACAAATGTACATTATTTTTTTAGTATTATGTGTTAACGAAAATAACCATTTCTTCGACGAGTATATTTATTTCATTCGTCTGCTTGTTACAAAAAGAGTAATTTAGTTGCAGCAACTTCTCGATTCTCACCCTGCACGCCTTCTTATATAAGCGTTTACTTTCCCTACACGGATTTAGAAACACAATTTTAAAAACAATATAGAAGCAGAGAGAATAAGATTACTCCAACAAACATGAATCAACGTTTATGTTGCGAAAAATTTTGCAGTTTCTGACCGGCGGAAACAGCGGTGAATCTCTTCGTGCAGACAGGTTTGAGCGATTCGTTTCGCCGGCTATATCAAGTTACTGTCTGTACCAATGGAGTATCTTTTTATCGTCTGCCTGTATATTCTCCTCTTTTCCCTGCTCCTTGCCCATATACACGCTGCAACATAATTTATTTACTCATCTGCGACTGGCACAATTTTCACAATACGAGCACGCAGCTCGAAAAGATGCGCTCGCTGCCACTTTCTGCGATTGATTTATAGAAATACAGAAAGATGTTTTACATGACAATTGTACAAATTAAAAAAGCAAAATGTTTTTTATGTAAATTGAAATAAGAAATATCCTATAAGTGAGTCCACAATTCGAGAAATGTTTTATTTATTCACAAAGTTTATAAAGTTGAAAATTGAGTACATTTTTTCTTGGTGTAGAATGCGTCGAAAAAAATTACATTTCATGAAATTTTGGTACAATTTTCTCTCAAGTATAAGAAAAATCTACATTTGTTTATATTGCGTTATTCGATATTTTAATTGAGTCTAAAATTAAAATTTAGTTGTGTAACTTCAAAGATCTAGGTATTTCAAATGTGAAGATACATAATATTCTGTTGTTTACATTTTCCGAGGCTTTGCGAAAAGTTGTTTATTTTCATTCGTCTGACATTTCCACTAAAATTGACTCTGAATTTCACGGAGAATTACGTTAGAAGTAGATTTTTCATTAATTCCGAGATATTCCGTACCGACAATACGATTTGTAGCTTAATACCGATTTATTGTGCCGGATAATGGAGTTATTCCGCGTCAGTATTATTACGTCTATCTTACGTTGCTTGAAAAGAACCGTTGTCGACAAATTGCTGGTTGAAATCTGGCATTAGCGAAACGCACTAATTTCCGATAAGTAGAATACACAACACGGTGCATTTTTTACAAAATTTGCTTATTGTTTTTTTTAGTTTTTTTTTATATCTTTCGTAAAATCTTTCTGCGAACATATTGTAGGTTTTGTATTTACTGATTAACTTATGGTTACAGCCTGATGATAAAAATTGTATTTTTCTATTTGTAATTAATTACGAAACTGATAGTTTTGTAATGAATAACTTTTAAAATCATTATACTATAAACCATTAGTTTAGATTAACCATAGCTAGAAAAACAATTTTTTACATTATTATTAAGTCAAGTTTAAAGCCTGAGACATAATTGAAAAGGACAGACAATGAAGTTTGTTATTTCCTGTTCTTATTATCTATGCTTTTCAATTGTATCTCTAATTATACACACACATTTCGATATCTTGTCAAAAGTCGAAAATGTATCTTGTGTCATTTCACCATCGGTTTTCTCATCAAGGCAGACGTTCAAAACTTCGTGTTTTATGAGATGTATTTGTAGCATGTCGTTACTCCGTTAATATCTTAAACATTTAATCATGCGCGAAAGTATTTGCGCTCGTTCAGATGTTGTACTGGCTCGTTAATTCGCGTTATTTATTCATGAACACATTGCACGATTTCATTTGACCGCAGGTATTTTGTGCATCGATCGTAAACGGTCGCATATTCAGTGAGGGACTACGCTTCAAAGCCGACAGCATATTATCTGATGCATCAGAACGTGTTTGCGTACTCACAAACGCCGCATGAATTTCCATGGCAAGAATGCGACTTGAAAGGCATCAAGGAAGGAGTGTCATAACGTTACAATTGTTTTAAACAGTAAAATAAATTTGTAGTACATTTTTCTCTTAACTTTGCTACCGAAATACAGATGTGAAAATTCTTCTTGTAGCTACTTCATGTATGAAGAATTTTAATATTTGCAGATTTCGTACGTATTCAGTATTTGATCGATTTTGATAACGGTAATTTTGGACGATAGCTCACCTATTTCTATAACGAGTGTATTTTATCATACAAATAACCGTGTCTATTGTTATCTTTTTTTCTATGAATATATTCTTTAATTTTATGTGTACAAATTTGATGTACAAATTTTCATTTATTTTTAGATATTAAAGATGCAATAGTTGATTAACCTAATTAAATTTTCATTGATAAAATTTATAGTAAAAGCTGTAAAGTAATTCTTTTTTCAAGGAGTGTTAGGATAGCCTGCTCATACTTGCGTATTATATTTATTGATACAAGTAATATATTTTATATCTAGCAATAAGAGTGATATTCACAGTTGTGCAACTTAGAACTGATCCTAAAAATCATTTTAAATATATTTTGTTGTATAAAAATATTACGAACGATATCTTGTGTCATTACGATAAAACTAATTACTAAATTTGTTTATAAAGTGAAAATTAGACATCTTTTAGATGCTACAGTTTCTTTAATTTTAATTAAATTAGAATAAAATTAAAATTCTAGAGTCTTGTAATTGCCATACAAAATCAATCTCTGAATTGAGTTCCATGAAATCGTTAACATTGCAAAAGTTAGTTTCATAAAAAACATAGAATTGTTTAATAAGAAGATTAGTAAAAAGTTGAGCTGGTCTCCGAGGAATTTGCTCCTCTTATTGTTAGCATACTTGTGGATAAGATACAGAAGCGGCAAAGGAATGACCATTACTCAACGAATTATTAGTTAATGATGAAACAGACGGCGTTTGGCTGACAATAACCATTCAAGTGTTACGAAGTCGCGATCTTTGTTGAATGCGGCATTGCATTTTTCACTATGCTCTATTAAACATACGATCGAACAATTGTTTGAAAAGACGAATATATACAAGGTGCATGCAAGCGAAGGCCCTCACAGCAGATAATTTCCTGCTGTTGGGTCTGTGCAATCTGCAGGAAACGTCAAAACCTCTTATCAGTCCCGCAAGTGACTGGGAATGACTTTTTCGATTCGAATGAATTACGCGGAAATCAACAAGTCAATATTGCACCTGTGTTGCAAAAACATGTCATCGTTATTGCGTTAAAAATTCTGAAGCACTTTAAATTTAATCATTACGTAGAAAGGAAGTTATATTGAGATTTAACTGTAGATAGACGCAATATTTATCGGTTTATAAAAATACGAAAATAATGCGTTTATTTTTTTTATCATTATACAATGTATAATCTTATGATTATAAACGAAACACAAATTAGCGGAAATTTACTTAAATTGTAATTTCGAAGAAATGATTTAAGTCATTTATAAATAAAATTTGCAGAGAATATAATAGCAGTTTTGGTTTTAAATTATTGTTCGCCAAAACTACTTGTAAATGATAAGCAGCAATTTTTAATACATACGAGCGAAAGAGAATTGTTGATACTTTCCACTAAGAGTATTCCTAATGCATGGTATTCATTTACTCGACGTGATGACGCTGTAACGTCGTATGCATTATCGTGAAACCCTATAGCGATTTAATTCCCCGCGCTGTGAATTCTTGAAGAAGTTCCGCGAAGTATATGGAGAAAAAATTGTCGAATCTGTAAATGTAGCACATTCTTTTAATATAAAAAAAATAGTGACAGTTTCAGTAGCACTTTTCATAATTTTACAGTTTCTTATACGTTATTATTTTTTTATATTAAAAGAATGACATGCTAATCCCACAAATCCACGTAAAGTGAGAATAGTTTGAAAAATTTTTCATGGTAATTTCTTAATCTTGCATTCTTTAATTCGATGATCAAAATTTGATTTGTCAAAATATAATATTCTTGAATTCATTATACACTATTCTGTAAATGAGATATTTATTTTTTCTCTTTTGAGAAAAAATATCTCATTTGTTGGTTATTAACCTTTTTTTAAGATTTTGCAATATCTTTTTAATGCAGAAATGTTGACTTGTTGATTTTTCTATCGAAAAATTTTTATTTGAAAAAATTTTCATTTGAATTCAACCGAAAAATTATTCTATATTACGAAATATTAATTTAAAATTTTCGAAATTAATTTTTTTATATTTCGATATTAAAAATACTCTATCTACTAATGTATTTTTTTAATTTTATTGTTATGATTACGAATGAAATAGTCCAAGATATTGTTAACACGTCACACACAAGTTAATATTATTTAATAAGTTAATGTGACACGATTCTTAGAGTACTCAGTGTATCTTACCTAACTCTTAATTCTTTAATAGCTTGATGACGAACGAAAAACTCCAACAGCGTACAGATAGCGAGTGATCATATCGGCATTACGTGCAAATAAAATATGATAAGATCCCGAAGACCTTCCCTTTTTTCGTATTTACTTGGGTGCGTACTTGTAACTGCATCATTGAATCGATATTATATGTTAGATGATAACTTTATCGGAAAAATCAATCCTCAAACATGTCATTTTTCTGATTTAAGTTAAGTAAATAATATACCTATACCTATATATATATTTTTTTTAGTTGAAATATGACGGAAAGGATTAGAATTCTTTGTTATTAGAACTTGATATAAACAAATTTTCAATAGATATTTGAGTTTTTAGTGCCGTCGTGAAGCAAGTACAGTTCAATCACCTTGATATTTGTCTGGACGATTTTTTTTCTCCTCGGTATGTAAATGATTCGAACAGTTCGAAAATAGCGACATGCGAATAGTGTCCATTCATCGGTGTTCGTTGGCGCTATTTGAGGAGACAGAAAGAAGGGAGAAACCAGCGTAGAAGGTACAGATGAAAAGAAGAAGTCTTATTCTATCGAAAAAGGGAAGACCGTTCGCCAATTTGCGTTTCTCACGCGGATCGTGAACTTGCTTAGCCTCATTTGACGTCGTAAACAACATCAATATTTCGCAACCAGTGCAAAATTTTTATATTTTTATTTACATCGAAATCGCAGAAGGTTGACTTTTTATTCTTTAGACATTAAAAAGCTAAGAGATGAATAAAGTTGTAAAAATTTGAGTTTTATTTAAATTTGTGTGCTAAATCTTAGGAAAGGAATATTAGATTATTATTAAGTTACTAAACAATATTAAATACATATTAAAGCATTATTATAATAATAAATTACTCGCGATTCCTTTAATCGTAGTTGCTATTAAGTCTATCATGAGACAAAAGAAGTTTAATGCATTTTTCTCACTATTGAATTTTCCTTACTAATTGCTTCGTTATTTGATACTCGCAAGTTTCATTACGAATTTAACTGAAAAGAAGCTAAGAGGGACCCGCGTTTCTTTGTTGCACAGAATACCAGTGCAGTGTCTCGCTTTAACTCTCTTTAGGATGTATCTTTCGTAAAGATCGTGTTTAGTACAACTTGCAGGTAGTGACACCTTTTCTCATGGAAATGGTTCTGGAGCTAAGGTCCAGGACCACCGGGTTTTTCTAATCGCAATTCAAGTCGCTGTATTAGCGAATCAGGAACGAAATCCTCAAAGAAATTCTTATCAAGATTTATCGAGAATTTATTGGTTTCAGGTAGAAAAATCTTTCCTTACCGACCGACCGTTTATTTACTGAATGAATTGCAAATTTTAGTCTAAGAAAATTTGCGATGACAACAACAGTTTTTTATCGCAATCTCAGTTTGAATAAAACTGTGTTGCCTCGAAGATGTGAATAATATTGCTTTTTGTCGAGTTTATACATTCTAATAAATTTTCGCTAGAATCTTTATTTGTCACACTACCTTTTTTAAATAGTAGTATTAGGCTCCAAGAAATAAATCGAAAGATATGAAAAAGTAGCTAAATGTGAGTCAACACAAGGTCTTTGTGTGATTAAATTCAATCTATTTAAAATTCAGTTACAGATGTTTCGATCCCATGAATTGGATCCTCTTCAGTGTACATCAAATCAGTCAATAGTAGTGGGTTGACATAAATAGTTAAAACCAGGACATCACACATTATACTATTGCTCAGTATAAATTCATAAAAAAACATCATTTGTAGCATCTCTCTCTCTCTCTCTCTCTCTCTCTCTCTCTCTCTCTCTCTCTCTTTAAATACTCAAACTTTATATTTAAAACGTTTATCTAAAATTATGTCAATTTGTAAAATAAAATTAATTCGAAATATTTGAAACAAATATAGATGTATGTAGACTTACATTGAACTCCATTTAATACGCAATACACCATTATGCAATCTTACAGTACAGAAAAATTATTATATGATATGAACTAGTGAAAGAGAGAGATTAAATATTTTATTGTGGTTTTGGATAAAGATCTTGAGAAAATAAAATTTACATTTAAATGACTAACATAATTTACTGCACTTTACACAACCAATTCACAGAAAGTCTTATCTTCATTCATAGCTATTAGTACTTAATATATTGCTTTAAAACACAATTTTTTTCCGTCCAAGGAGAATCTCTGCATCATTATTCATTCGCTGTACTAATTAATTATACAAAATAAAATCATTACGCGTTGAAAGATCAAGAATCATCCGGGATAAGGAACATTTGCTCTCCCGATTCTCAACTTTATTTCAAGAATCATTTTGTATATCCGTACACATTTAGATTTGAGAGAGAACGTATGCAGATTTTAGGTTTCTAGGACGTTACTTGCGTATCCCGCGATTCTCGCGAGTGTTATAATTGGCCGTGGGAAGAGACGGAAATATATAATCGTGGTCCACGCAAAGTTTACTGACAACAATATTTCATCACTCGAGCGAGTCTTTATTAGCCGCTAGCTGATTTTCGAAGGTACATTTACCGCAATCAGAACGTATATCTTCTCATATGCTGACGTATACACGCGTGTAGGTATGAACGGGCACGATAAGCCACGTTCGATTAACGGGTATTGTCAAAATCTGACTCATCACGAGACTCGCGTCAACTAACTCATCGCAACTTTCACCCAGATCAACCATTAATAGCCGTGTCAAGACTTCAGTGCCATTCTTAATTATGCTGAATGATCAAAAATTGAGATGAATGTAATTCAAAGCGTTATTCGCGTTCTTAAAATTTTAGAAGAAAGCAAAAATTCCGAAATAATAACATGAAAAACTAAAATATAATAATGAACATTAATTAGAAAATTATATCAAATATGGGAATGATTTAAAATTAATGCGACTAATACGCGGAACAGTTATTTTTCTTCGAATTACTTTTTTTCGTAATAATTTATTCTATCCTGTGTTGTTTTATCATGATATTCATATTCGATATACGAAACTGTTAGAATTATAAAAAAGTATGTAAATTTATAAACTATTGAACTTGGAGAATATATGTTAATATAATATACAATATTATAACTTGAATATCTGTATATAATATAATAAATCAAAATAAATAATTTACTAAATATTAGTGGTGGAATAATATATATACAATGCATATATATATTTACTGATTTTCTCCAAATTCATATAACTTACAATCATCTGTTATGCTTTCGTAATAGCTGTTAAATTAATTGTATTTTAATATTCTTGTAATAATTACTATATTTAGAAATAGAATTACTATATTTACATTGTTTTATATTTATCACAAAATTTCTTTAGACGAATCTGACGAAAACTTTTCGTATAATGTGTGTGAAATTGTGCTGACTTCAAATTGCTTTGTTCTCAAATGATAAACGCAATAAGCTACACGAAAGACAGTTAGAAACATAATTCTGTTTACGACGTTAGGAAATTGATCGAAATCAGCGTTACTAATAGATCTTATTCGTTGCAGACGGTGCAGCATGGTTTCCCGAACAAGCCAACCGCTCTCGCCTGGGATCCGAGTCTGCGGCTGATGATCATCGGCACGGCATCCGGCGCCATCAAGGTGTATCCTTTTGCTTTTCTTACCTCCTCGCCTCCTCGCTTTCTTCCCGTTTGGTATTTATAATCTGGTCCCAAGGCGTAACCGCCAGGACTCAATGACGCGCGTATCGATCTATTAATCCTCTGAGAGGCTGCGTTCCTTGGAAAGAGAAAAAGTACAAGTTCGAATAGTCTAAATTATTTGTTGCAAAAATTAATTGTTACATTATTATCAAAGAGATTTTTATAAAACGCTTAATACTTAATTATCATTTGATTTTATTTAAACGAACGCTTTGAATCTTTAGTCACAACTCACCCCAAACAGAAAATAAATATTCTCTATAAAATGGAAAGCTATTACTGTCATAAATATCAGGTTGGTTGTAAATACTTGTTATGACTTTTTTATTGCCACAATAAGAAAAATCTGTTTCGTGGTGCCGCGAGCGATTGCTTAACAAAGACTTCATAAATCACTTGCGGTATGTTTTATAAACTTGCACTGTGCTTGGAGCAGGGCATTATTGAAGAAATATTAAATCACACTTAGAATTCACGATGGTGTTCGCGTGTAATAATCTCGCATTATGTGAATGCACTTGTTTCTAATTGAAGTTACTTTCTTTAACGGCTTCGGGAAAATCGACCTAAGCTTATACATATTTCTCAATTCTAATTTTATCAACTTCTTGGAAAATCGAGTTAGACAACTGTCGCATTAAACTCATCGATTAAGAGAACACAACCGCGTTTTGCATAATACAGAATTCAGTTAAGAGATATCGATTGTTCACGAAAAATGCACATGCAGCGTTCGTTCGATCGAAACGTTTTACTTCGAAAGACTGCTGACTAATTTTATTACGTGTTTATTCGCGAGAATATGATATTTCGTAACTATTTTACGTTAAGAAGGTCACTAACTGTCGAACAGTGAAAGATTGAAGTTTTCAGCAATTTACAATATTAAGGTCATCGCGAATTCGATTCTGCAACACTTTGTTGATCTTGATTCTCGACCTTGTCAATGCTTAATTTACGTATACGCAGAAATTATCTCAACAAACCTGTATCAGTTAGAAATTATTACATCTATTGTAACAGTTTGAGATTATCGCTAATTTAAAATTTTTCAAAATAACAGCTGTAAATGGAGCAAACATTTGTATTGTTTTTATCTGGATTCTAGATTATTTATATCAAATGATAAATTTAAATTGTTTTTTCTGGTTTTTATATAAAGATACGCAATTTAAATCGTAATTTGGCGTGAATAGTCTCGCTAAATTTAGATCTGTTGTTTATTTTTATCTATCACAATTTTTAAATCAGAAAATTTTATGTTTTAAGAGAAAACTATATTTATATAAACAATTTTAAGCTTTATATTTTTTACGATAATCTTTTTGTCGACGATATATTATATGTTATAAATTTATTTGCTATAAACTTATATTTTAGAATATTAATTTTCTAAAAATGTATGCGATATTTGAACAGTATACGTTATCATAATCGGAAGTTGATTACAATTTAATGTGACAGGATAAAAAAAGCTACGTAAAGAAAACTATATATGATCCGAGAATTATCCTGTCGATTCGTGGAAAATTACGCGCTTTTAACTTCGTAGATGTTATTAAACGGGATGTTAGATCGTAGTGAAATAATCAACACGTCAGCGAGTCTGCAATTTAATACCAGTTTAATACCGTAACCGCGCATACATCGTCGGCAGATGCTTTCAAGGACTACGTAATCACCAGATAATCGTTATTATTTCGCAATAGACATACGTATACACGATTATCTGTGCGACACACCTAGTCTTCGCTTCAGTGAAACCATCGGCCGAGTGTACTCGTTTTCCAAGCGCTGGTACGTTCAACTATATTTGAACTTAATCACAAACCTCTTGAACTCTTCCCGTAACTTGAAGCAGCTCAAACGACGATACTTTATCTAGTTTCCGTTTTTAGATTCAACGGCTTTCTACAAACCAGTAGATACGTGTCGTTGTAATGCGCTCGAATAGATCCTTAAAAAATGGACATTGAAATTATTTTAGTTAGGAAAAACAAATTGCGTTTGTAAATTACCATTGCGGTCGCAGAAAATACTAATTGAAAATAAAAAATAGGTTGATATCTTATGCCAAATAGAGTATACCGCGCTCAATTTTTAAGTTGAATAAAAAATCTTTATGTACAAAGATTAGAATTTAAAAAATGATTTGGTACACATTTCATTGAATCGTGCAGATTTATTGTCTCTTCAAATTTTCTATATTTTATCTCCAAAATAAATGGACGTTTACGCAAATTTATTATTTTGTCAATAAAGATATGTCTAAGGATTCGATATGATTGTAATTTAATCGGTCTTATTTAAAAATTAGAGAAAATTTATATAAATTTAATCTTTTTGGCTTTAATATATGTACATTAATTTCTTTAAGCTTTTAAAGAGATTCGAATTATTATCGAATCTTCTATGATCTTTAAGTGGATACTAAAAAGTAAAATCCAGGTTAATCTCCTTCAGAATCATTCAAAGGAATTTGCGGTTATGCAACTGTCCATTACAGCTCAATGGCATAATTATTTTGCGTCGTTCATCACGGAATTTATTATAGAATTTGCAAAGCGTGCGCTTATATATATTTAGCAGCTGTTTCTTCGAATGATGATCCTCGCTGTCAACATGTTAAATCGGTCATTTGCAAATCCGAAGTCCGAGGGTCTTCTCTCGGGCGCGCAAGGCGTGTTCCTGTGTCAGCGTGTCACATATTTATACAATATTATATAATCCCTTCTTTTGTGAAAAAAGTCCTTGACTCAAACATCAGTTTCGGAAGGCCAGGCGTAGAGTTCTATGGACAACATTCCGTTGAAAGCGGTGAGAATGCCGTCACGAAGATCGTCGCGCTGCCCAATGAGGTAAGATTTGATGTATTAATTACGATTGTATTTTTACATTAAATAAGGTAACTAATTTTCAAAATCGATTTCTTATCGCATAATTCTATGAACTATTATTTTTTTTTATATCAAGGATTGAACAGTTTATTGGTGCTGACCTGAAAAATGTAAATTTGTCAAATTTGTGTAAGATTTGAGAATCTCATTGAAAACTTTACCGATTAATTTTTATTGCATTTTTTTATCGTTTATATGATTATGTGTATCATATATCGTGTACTTTTTAAATATATTTATATTTTAAAATTATTCTTTCCGCGATTTACATAGAAAAGTGCTAACTCGCGGTACCTAGTTCTGTTAAAATTGCACGCATAGCACCGACAGTAATGCGACACCATGTTCCGCTTATACGATTGCCAGCGGGTTGCATAATCCCGTGCGACACCGTACAATGTGCTCACGCACGCGTGTACTGATAAATAATACGGGTGCAACGACATCACGACGGTGCGGCGCAATTAATGTGAAATGCAATTAAAGCCACGACGTAAAATGTGGGAAAAAGACTTTCTTTGCACTTCCGAATGGTCAATTAACCGTTAACCAGCAGACATGCGTCTTGCCAATGTTTAGCAAATGTAGTGATGACGTTAGTGAAATTATCTTAATATGTCTCTAATCGAGCATTTTTAAAGATGTTTAAGAGGCTTGTTATGATAACTAAAAATAAATAACGATACTTTTTGAAATATTTCATATGGAGCTATAAGTTTGCACAATTGTCTCTAGTTGATAACTTACTTGCGATATACATATAATTTTTCATAATATTATTCAAAATAATGTATTGATAATTAAATCGCATTTTTAGTTTTTACGATCGCACAACGGCATAAGCACAGACGTTCGTTATCACGATAAGCGTTTCCAAGTAAATTTTGAAGCCGATAAGATAGCAGCTAGTCTATATGATACCGATCTAAAATATTACTTTTTATTTAATTTTAAATTTGATTTTTTATTTATTTTGACCTTTTTTCATAACTAACTTTTTTTGGATACAGTAATCAAAAATTTTTGTGCTAAATAGAAGAGATACTTATAAAAGAAACAAATAATCTCAAGTTTGTGACTATTTATTAATTTTTAGAAAAAATTGATTAAATTGCAATATCATAAGATCAAATAAAATACACAATTTAATTAAAATATTCGATTAGCGCATTTTTTTTATTGAATTTTGGTTGAATAGACAAGTATTTATTGTAAAAAATTGAAAAATGATATTTTTTAGTATCGGAATTTAATTGTTATATATATTTTTATAAATTAAAGTCTTCATTTTTTCAGACTTTTAATCGATATTTTAGTATTTAATCTATTAAATGCTTGGCAAAAAAGGTAAATTAAGTTTACTATTTATTTAATGACGAAGAACAATTCATTATTCTAACTACGGAATGTTTACGGATTTTTTTTTCCAAAGAATTTTTTGATAATTATAAACAAAACTGAAAACGGAGTATAGATAAATTTCTCTGATTTTGCGTTTGATGTGAATTGTCGCTTTGTGTATTGCGCGTGACAGTTGCAAAATAGAAAACGTACGAGAGTTGAGAAGTTGTGAGAAATCATGAAATTATGCGAGTATTTTCTCCGTGTAATAATAGAGGTAGGAGAGGCCAGCAGCCGCTGTTGATCTTATTGCGAGGCGTTTTATTACTTCCGCCATATCAGAAACACACGTTGACTTTCGAAGATAAAAACTGTTGTTAAAACTGTTGTTTATTCTGTCGAATAAAATGTTAAATAAAATATTTAAAAATATGTATGAAAAAAATAGTAATTGTAGAAAGCTTGGAACATCTTTTGAAAAAATGTTTGTAGGAGTTAAATGAAAAATACTTCTAAGAATATACTTTGTCCTATGAAATATAATGCTTCATTCCGATTAACATTCTATGATCAGTTTTTTGTATCGTACTTTACAGGGTCGCGTGGTGTCCTTATGTGACGACAATTCATTACATTTATGGGAGATTAACAGAAGTTCCGTGGTGGAAACGAAGACATTGTCGTTGGAAGGGAAATTGAAAAAGATTTCCGCAATGTGTCTCGAATCTAGTGGGGAACATCTCTTGTTAGGAACGGAAGGAGGCAACATCTATTTGCTGAACTTGAAAACTTTCGTCACCCCGGAGAATATTATCTATCAAGATGTTGTGATGCAGAAGTAAACAATTAGATTAAATTATCTATCATAATTTAATTAAATTTTTATCTTCTGTATTTGGTATAAATGCCAACAAAATTATAGAAGTTACTTCGTCGTTTATCATCAATCTTATAGAGAAGATTTTATTGTCGCAATTTTATAGGATAAATCAAAATTTGATCAATCTGATTATCTCTAAAACAGTCGTAATATCATTAAAAAAAGCATTATATTTAAAAGAATATAATAACTTTAAATTCTAAATTAAAAATTATTTAAGACCAGAAAAAACGAGTTACTCTGTGTAAGATCATTAATTGTTTTGTATTGCATAGCGTTCCGGAAGACTACAAGAAAAATCCAGGAGCGGTCGAAGCCATAGCTGAGCAACCAGGGCATCCGGATAACATCCTGATCGGTTATAATCGAGGTTTGATGGTATTGTGGAACAAAGCTACTCCAGGAGCTCAGCAGGTAAGCCTTTATATTCATTGTATCTGTATGTATACACAAGTACACTTTGGCAAATGCAATAGTCACACGCTGTAATGCTTACATGTTTTTCGCAAAACAACACACAGTGTGGGTCAGTATTTAATCCTGCTAGCCCATTTATTTCTAATATATATTCACAATTAAGTTTAAATTAATTATTATTACATTTTTTAATGTGATATCATTAAATAAAGATTTGTCTTTATCTTATTTTAGAAATATATATTTAAGGTAAATGTGTGGAGAATTGATGAATTCGTGGAATTAAAAAATGTTAGATATGAATATTATTAGATTAAAACTCTCTCTCTCTCTCTCTCTCTTTCTAAAAACTATACTTTTTTTATATATTTTCTTATAGAGACTATCATATTAATATCTGTAATAGAGGGGTATCTATTTATTCTGAAAAGTTCTACTATTTTAAAGAATAAATTGAAAATATAATTAGTCTTAATTTAATAACTTTTGTGGCTATTTAAAAAATGACAATTGATTAAAATGGAGTCGAATGGAACAGCAGGATTAAGAACGAATTGTGAGATGGTATCGCTCGTTCTGATTGTCGTTTGTGTCTTTGGTGGTCTTTGGTGGAACGTGTACGCGCAGCTGATGGGTTTGTTTTCGCGTGCGCAGACATTCGTCTCCACGCAACAGCTGGAATCGGTCCATTGGATATCCGAGAATCGCTTTGTCTCGTCACACAACGACGGTTCGTATGCGTTTTGGAGCCCTGGTAGCGATGCCGTGCCGGAGCCCACGACACTTTACGGGCCGTTTCCGTGTAAAGCCGTCACCAAAATCCTCGTGTATCCTACCGCGGAGTAAGTAATTTCGAGATCAGACATGTATAATATATCTCCCTTTTTCATCTCTTCACGAATTCAATCGAGCTTTTCCATAGACACGGCGAGCTCGTATTATTCTCCGGTGGTATGCAACGCGCCAGTTATGGAGACAGACATACAATCACTGTCATGACCAAGGAGAAACATTTAGTTTTTGACTTTACGTCTAAAATTATCGATTTTTTCACCGTCTTCCCTAAGGAGGAGGAAGAGAACAATGAGAACCCTATCGGTCCGGAAGCACTTATAGTATTGGCTGAGGAAGAATTAGTAGCTATAGATTTGACCAATCCCGAATGGAAGATGATGGCTTTGCCCTATCTAGTATCTCTCCATGCGAGTTCGGTGTGTATATTGAAATAAAAGTAACAAAATTATAATAGATTCGTGGTACAAACTCTTTCATATTATAGGTGACTTGTTCCCAACATGTGCCTAATGTACCCGAAGAACTTTGGGAAGCGATCGTAGCAGCCGGTAAAGCGCAGACCGAGCATCTTTATTCAGACAAGTCGTGGCCCATCGACGGTGGCATGATCCTCTGCCAAAAGCCAGCGAATCCTGACAAGCCTAGAAACAAGGATTTGCTACTTACTGGACATGAGGATGGCACTGTTAGGTTCTGGAATGCGTCCGACGTTGCTCTGACCCCTCTTTACAAGTACAACTCGTCGATCCTGTTTACTGGCGAGCATTTGGACGTTCTCGAGCAACCTCCAGAGGACGACGAAGATGAGTGGCCGCCATTCAAGAAGGTGGGAATCTTCGATCCATACTCTGATGATCCGCGACTTGCTGTGAAAAAGGTTCTCCTCTGTCCGTTATCCTCGACGTTGGTGGTCGCCGGTACAGCTGGACACATTATCACTGCTACCATCTCCTCGGAACCGACCAATAGGGAGATAAAAGCCGTAATAATGAATATTGTCAACGATCGCGACGGATTTGTGTGGAAGGGTCACGATCATCTGCCGCCGAGAACAACGAGTATATCATTCGCGGTTGGATTTCAACCACAAAGTCTTCTACAGTTGTACCCACCAGCCGCCGTTACGGCATTAGCGTTACACAGCGAATGGGGATTACTTGCCGCTGGAACAGCGCACGGACTTGCGGTCTTTGATTACACCAGATCGAAAGCTGTCAGTGTCAAATGCACGCTTAATCCAAATGGTATGTGAATCTGCAACAAGATAACTTTTTTCAGCGATGCAACTTCAGATATTGTTGGGAAATAGTCCTATTTTAAATTATAATAACTTTTTTTATGTAGTTCCAAATTGAGATAAATCTCTCTTTCTCTATCTAGAGAGAGTGAAAGAAAAATATTTACATTAATACCCAAAACAGACATTTCTGTGTAAAATTAGTTTGTTTTTTATATCAATATCTTGAATAAATATAATTATTTTAATGTTTTACAGATCTTTCCGGTGCAGGTGACACTCCTATTTCCCGACGTAAGTCTTTCAAAAAATCTCTTAGGGAATCTTTCAGGAGATTGAGAAAGGGACGTTCGCAACGTCGAGCAAATGCTAATAGTCCTACACGAAATCCTGCACCGGAGAAAAAGAAAGACAGGTGAGTTTAAGTCAAAATATTAGATTAAATTACGAAGAAAAAGCCATTTGTAATTATTAAACTATAATCGCAGCGTTGCTTCTTCACCGAGTGGCGACCCATCACCAACGGAATTAAAACCGGTGGAGAGACAAGTGGAAGCGAGACCAGTTGACGATGCTCTAGGCTCTATGGTTCGGTGCTTGTACTTTGCCAGAAGTTACATTATTAGCCGTTAGTATCTTTTTGTAAATATGTATAATGTCAACGACAAATCACAAAAATGACTTAAAATATTTGTAGTACAAAATACAACACCCACACTTTGGGCGGGCACCAACAACGGCACGGTTTACGTCTTCACGTTAGCTATACCAGCCGGTGTGAGGAGAACGGAAGAAGACGTCAACTGTACACTGGGCAAAGAAATACAATTAAAGCATCGTGCACCCGTAATTGCGATCACGATTCTCGATGGATCCAGCGTGCCGTTGCCGGAACCCTATGAAGCTGAAAAGGGCGTGACGGCTGGACCTGATATGACTTCCACACACAGAGTCGTAATTGCTAGCGAAGAACAGTTCAAGATTTTCAATCTTCCGTCCTTGAAGCCGTATTGCAAGTACAAATTGACCGCTCACGAAGGGTCCAGGGTACGAAAAACAGGATTCGCCAAATTCTCGTGTTACGTCGAGCCAGCAGGAACTCACGAGGAAACTTGCTTGCTTTGCCTAACGAATCTTGGTGATTGTCTGGTGCTGAGTATACCGGAACTCAGAAGACAGTTGAATGCTGCTGCAATCAAAAGAGAGGACATTAAGTTAGTTCTGTTTTTTATATCTTGCGTCTTAAACGTCACATATTTGAGAATTAACTTTTATCTTTTGTCTCTTAGTGGTATTTCTTCCTTAATATTTACAAAAGCTGGAGAAGCGCTGTATCTTCACTCGAGTTCGGAACTTCAACGAATTTCTCTGTCGACCGCGAAGATGACAAAGGCGCATTGCGCGCTTAAATTACCACCGCACGCCAGATCGTTTGCGGTAAATACTAACGAAGTTGCGCAAGAGCAAGGTGTTGTCGAAGGTGCACCTGAAACCGAAGGGGAGACGCAGGAAAGTCAACTACCAACGGCGGCAAACAGAATTATTACGGAAAATGGCGTAGTAAGTGCCAGTGAGTATTAGAAATCCATATATTTTGACGTGAATAATCTAAAGCAGTGGTCAGATTTAGTTACAACTTACGGCCCAATTTTAGCTGCTTTTGAAGCAAAGTGTCGAAAAGTCTTAATGACTCATATTCAATAAACTCATTAAAACGCGAACGGGGAAGGAAGGACAGTGCAATGAAAATTGAATTGAAAATAGTAACGAAACCCGACCACTGATCTAAAAAGACAGATATATTTTTTTACACATCGTAATAGAATACACCATCGGCTTCTGTGTAAACGCGATTGTGTATATGTGTAACCGCTTGGCATACCTTGTATAACCCGCATATACATGTGTGCTTACCCACGTGTTTCGATCCTAATCACAACTACCATTTATGTCAGACCATTACTACCATTTATGTCGATTAACGACATAGTAGGGAATGTTGTTATTCGTAATAGTGCCGTTTAGTGTCGATGTGAACGCATGTCTTTTAGCTGGAGAGGAAGAATCTCCGAAGGAACCGTCGCTGCGACCAGCTACAAGTAGTATAGATGTAAACGGAGAAGACGACCGTCAGGATTTAAGTTCTATCGGAGATATTACGATCGACAGTGTTAAAGATCATTTGCTGTAAGTTCAGCTGACATCAGATATTTTTCTAATTTGTTATTTGCTTATGTACAATAAATTTTAAGTTTAGTGAATTCAATTGTAAGTTTAGTGAATTGTAATTTTAAATTAATATCACTTCATGTACATAGATGTTTAATTTGTAAAACGTATTATTGAACATACTACATGGCTTGATAATTTATTTCGCCGCTATGTTTAATTAATACTAGCATTTCGATGTACTTGCCATTTTTTGGCAGTAACAGTCCACTTTTCAGAAACGCGACATCTTCCGAAGATCTCCATAATCGTTTGGCAGGACTTAAGATGGAGGTGACTTCACGAACTTCCGAGATAGCCACTCAAAATCAGTCCCTAGTGGTGAAAACGACCACTGTGGTTACACAAACCACGAATAGCACGACCGCTAATGGCGAAGTCGAGACGAGTCAAGCGAACGAAACGCAACACGTAAACAGTGAGTGAAATCGCAATCGATCTAGATCTCTAAAGTGATTATTATTCTATTTAGATCTGATCATCGGCCAGATTGACAATTCGTAAAGAGATTGATCTTCGAGTATTTTTTATAGTATAGCTTCTTACATACGAACGGTTTAATGCGTGAGAGATTTTTTTTATATCAATGTATATTACTGATTTTTCAGGATCACTAATTGACAGACACGACGGACTACAATTCACACCTCAGGTTGCACATGATGGTTCATATATGTTTTTATATACGTTTCTTAAACGTATGTCTAAAATGTTATAACCATTTAGGAAACGCACATAAGACCAACATGTGCTACTTGGAACATTACATACAATTAATCTTTCGTCTTTGCCTTTCGATAATTTTCATTTTATTTCTTCTGCCTTTACGTTATTTGCATTCATTATTTTTTTTTTCATTATTTTTTGTTTGTGGCACTTATTTTATTGCGTAGGCACTACAGTAGAGCGAGAGATACGCAGCGGTATTGAGACAACAACGACACACGCTACCATCACTCTGCCCCCGAACGTCGAGGTCAGCAAACGGCACTGAATATAAAATTATAATTAATTGGTGTCGGCCGTTACCACGATAATAATCTCATGTTTATGCTTTAGTACCTTGTCGTTCGCCATTAGCCAATTGATCTTTTGCTACTAAGTGCATCAGCTTTTCATTCATTTATTTTTGTTAATTAATTCCTCGCTCTTCCCTTCATGCGATATTCATTAACAAACAACAGACAACATTAACATAAATGTAAAGCTTTTAATTACTAACTAGGAAGATTTTACTATTTTCTATCAAGAAACATCTCTATTGAGCGATAGATAATTGTTTAAATATTCCAGATTAATGCCGCGGATTTGGCCAATTTGGAGGTCACCACGACTACAGTGACTACTACTACAGAAAGGTCCAAGGCGCCGTTGGCTAGGCCAGAAGAAGTCGGTTCGTAGGCCTGTTCCATATCGTTTTTCCATGCTGACCATGCATCGATTTCGTGCTCCATTTACAAGAGCCATCAATAATTAGTTACTTTTACTGAATAAACGTGTACACAGCGGCGATATAGATAGGATTTATATATCGTAGATTTTTTTAAGAAATTAGATTTCTATGCAACATTTCAGCGATAATCACTTGCGCCGCGCGAGCGACGAGTGATCAATTTTTAATACGAATTTTACGCATTTTCATTGACATTTACATCATTGTATTCCACTTAAAAGTGTTCCAAATGAATAGCTTTTGGAATTGATGGGAATCAATGATTTTTAACGAAAATAGGCCTAGAAAATATTTTATTTATGATATAAGAAATACAAATCCTCATTATGCTTTCTTTAAAAGTAAAATTTTTTAAATTTTTATTATTGATGAGAAGACAAGAATATCGTATCAAAAAATATAATTTTAGAATAAATTTAAACGATTTTTATCACGAGGATTAACCTACCGTTTTGCATGGCCGATTTTAACTTGTTCATTAATTTAATAATGAACTCTGGTGCATGTTACATAATCAGTATAATCGTAGAGTTTTAAAAAGGATTATAGTTTACTGAGAGATAGGGAGAATGATGAAACACATCACAAACCATGAATTGTGGCAGCCTTAAATCTACTGTTATTTTATATTTTTTTAATTATTGAAGACATGCGACACATCCGCAGTATCCGCAGTATTTGAAACGTTTTAAGCGTCTTGTTATAGTTTTTCGCAAAAGTATAATGCGATAGAGATGCTTTGAACATCAAAAAAATGTAGCTACTTAAGTAGAGTTATATATTTGACGAACAAGCGAGGAGATTAAGCGTGGCTTTAATCGAAGGGTAAAACCTGTCGATGGCCATGATGTAGGGAGAACGCGTTGAAAAGTATATTTTTTATCAATGTTGCTTAATCGTTAAGTTTCCTCTCTCTTCGCGTTACCGAAGAGTGTGTCACCGTACGTTCGAGGGATTCCTCGAATATTCGGGAACGCTTAACGTACTACATAATATTGACATAGTTATTTTATTGTTGCATTTATCCGCAGTCTTTTTCTAGAACGTAATAGTCGCATGAATAGTCTTTAATGATACTATTGCAAAATGCGTTTCTTGATACTTTATCAATTTTTAAAAACATACTACATATATATACAATATAGCTTTTTTCGCAGCAAATTGATATATTTCGTAGCTTGTCTTTTTGCAGGAGTACCAATTATATTATATAATTTTGATCTCAAGTAGGATTGTCATGGGAATAATTTATATTCCGGAAACTGCAGTTTTTGTTAATCACACACATGCGCCGATAATCTCTTAAGATGTTGAATGAAAATGAATCCCAAATGCAACAGACTGATGGAAATGTGCCCTTCTTGTCACATTTTTACACGATTGTTTTTTATCATTTTATTGATCATTTTTGATCGCATTAATTTGTTTTCTTTATATATATAAATAATACACGTGATCAAAATTTGAATTGATAATAATCTTAACTCTAAATATATATTGGCGGTAACATTATCCTTTTAGTGCGATAAGTTTTAATCTATATAGGTAAGTTTTTAACGTCCTCTAAAACTTTTTTGCAATTTTATTGACAAATCTATATTGAGTACATTTTAATCTTTGAAGCATAATGTATTGCCATGTTTCGCACATGTGTGTGTCCCATGCTTGAAAAGCTAAAAAAGTATATCTACGGTGTTGAAATGAATTTTAATTTTTAATCGCTAAGTGTAAAATACTATTAACGATACTTCATTTTATCGAATCGACGCCGAGCTTGCTGAGATACGCGCATTGTAAATTATTTTTTACTTTGATAAAGTAATGTATAGTGTACACACAGAATAAGAAATTGAAACACTGCCCCTAAAACTTTTTCCTATCCGACACTGTTAAATACCGATTGTAACATGTCATATTGAATGCCTATTACGATGAAATATATAAGTAATTATTAATGTATTTTCTATTTCAAATCGTGTTATATTGTTTATTTTCCTAGATCGTTTTTTGGCTTTCCTTGATATAATTCCTTCCTGACAACCAATGATTTATGATAGGATATCGTAATATTTTACAGGTAAATATAAATAAGGTAGATCTGTTTTATCTAAACATTCAATGTTTATAATAGTTTAACAAAGTTTTATACGTTTATCGAAAAAAATTTACTTTGAATTTTCTTTTGTGCATATTTCACATACGATCGTGATGCAAATTGTCTCATTAATAATAAATTAACGTTTAGATATTATAATATTCTGAAGAAAAGAATATTTCTTCGAACAATATGTTGTCATCTTACCATTAATATTTCTTGACAGTTCATGGATCTGAAATTCAAAAGAACATGTTTTGTATTTACTGCTGTGTCCCGCAATTGTAGCGTGATAAAGCAATAAGCAAAGCAAGAAATAGCCATTTATAAAAAATTGTATCAATAATTGCTGTTGAAAGTAGTTTTATTTACTGTAATAAGAAAAACAAAATTAAGTACATAATTACTTAAAGCGGCAGATATTAATCAAGGGAATAGTAGTGAGCAAGGAATCATCAAAGCGAAAATCAGTAAGCAGACGTACGAAGACTACGCTGAAGCATAAAGCATTACAATTGTAAGATTTATTTAAATTTACCCAAATAATAGCTCTTTAAATACTGCTCCGCGTGGAGTATTTCTTCACATGGATGTTTATTAACTTCCTTGTATAGTATATCTAGAACGGCCTTCACCGCCTCGATATCGTACATATTTGCGAGTAATCTCTCCCTGAAAGGTGTCAGTTTTTCCACGAGTTGCTTATTCTTGGAGATAGATCCAATATGATCTCGCAGGATCTCATTATACGTCGGCCAGTCATTCTTGCACGCTGGGCAATCACAATCGAGAAAATAATCTTGCAGTATCTTTTGCTTCCTCTCGGATCGTGGCATATGCGAGTAAACACCGCCGTAGCTCGTGAATATTTGATCTCCGGGATGTATAGGTGTTGAGGCACGCGTGATCATGCTCAGTCCCTCGAAATGTCGAAAAGTATTTGGTGCGCAAGAATGATTATATAGACTGTGAGCCACATATAATCCCGAACCCGACACAATTCCTGGTTCTTGTTGTATCTATAGGATAATATATAACTACATTTTGAGAAAGAGGGAGAAAAACTAATTATATATAATAATTTCCTTAGCAACATATTCTCAAAGACATAAAGAATATGTCCAAGTAGTAATGATTTAATGAAATCATAATTACGAAAAAGGAAACTCACTGAAAAACAGTTAGAAGACATTATTACACAAGCACGAAACATTATACTGGCGCAAAATTTGAGCTCGGAAAATTCGCTGATATCCTTCAAATCGTCAATCTCATATTTCTTAGGAAAAAATTTTGTTTGCGTAGCTAAGAGGATTACCGCAAGGGCCGAGATGCAGGCGAATGCGCTGATCCCGATCAGCGGTCTCGTAGTCATGTTAGTCGCCAGGCTCAGTGCGGACCGGGCACTAAAACTGTCTAATATCTCAGTATCTGTAAATCCTGCCGTTCTATTGTCTGCAATAGAAAGGATCAAAGAATTGTGTGATTATCAACGCTCCAATATACTAATATTTTGTATATGATAGACGTATACCTGAATTAGATTCTGCAATTTTCATATCTTGCTGCAGTTCTTTAATTCTAGTTCCATTCTCGGTCACTACAATCAGTAATCGAATGATCTTCGAAATCATTCTTATTTTATCTTTGTCAACATTGAGCAAGTTCGTCAACAACTTTAGAATTGGACATTCCGTTTTATGACACGCTTCCCACGCCAGCTTCCTGCAATTCTCAGAGCAATACTGAGCTATCGGGCATTCTGAGCACGGTATTAGATTGTAGCTTCTGGCTAGACAATAGTGGCAATGTGTATAATACCTATAAACAACGAGTATACAAGTTTTCTACAATTAAGGAGGAGAATGTAGTTGTGAAATCACAAAAAACTAAACTACCTATGTTTATAACTTCTTTTCTTATAAATGAATATATTTGAATCACCTTTTTTTTGTTTTTTCTTACATAGTTGACTACATTTTGTGATCGTAGTATTATATTTAATATTTTTTTTTAAGACTTTAATTGATTTTTAGATAGAATTATAATTTTAAAAAATTATTAAATTATCTTATTCATTTTTTAAGAGATTAAAAAAAGAATTATAAGAATCAGTTCTCGGTAGTTTTTCACTTATGCTTAAGAAGAAAGTAAAGGTAAAAGAAGGTGAGAAGAGATTTATAGTCATCACATCAAATACTATCTAAACTTTTAAAGTTTATAAGTAACTTGTGCTATATATATATATTTGATGCGTCACGATCTTACATCTCTTACAATGATTTCTTCACCTTCTTTGTCTGTTTCAAATCAAGAATGCAGATATATAGAAAAATACAGATAGAGATAACAAATCAAATAAATTTTAAACAATACAATTTAATTAATAGCTCACCGTTCTTCATAGATAACGTGTGCATACGGATCTTCGATGCTGACTATATCACCAGGTTTAAATTCCCGTGTCGCTATGTAGTGTCTGCCATATCTCTCAGAGAAGGATATCGTGACACCATCACTAACAGCGGGAACTTCTCGGCTTGGGCCGTTTATTAACTTAGAGAAGTTCTCTTCTTGCAAATATCTCGGTTTCCGCGGAGGGATCTTCGTTGCATAACGAAGATAACTCTCATTAGTTGCCGTGCCTTGTTTCTGCGGAATCCCTTGATCGTTTATCATCATTGCCCTGTTCTCTACGTGTTCAATGTCTTCTGTAACAGGCCTCTCGATACTGTCGTATAAATATGATTCATTCGCGATTCTCTGATCATCAAGATCCTTCGAGTCTAGTCGCAGCAACTTTTTTATCTCCATTATCGCTTTATCCCCTCTGTCCTTCAAGTTTTTCTGTTTCTCTTTTGGATATCCGTGAGACAAAGCCGCGTCAATATCTATCAGGCATTCCTTATACAATTGTTTCCTATATAAAGCAGCGGATCGGTTTGCATGTGCGTATGCCATAAGTTCATCGCTATCGGCATATGCCAAGCTCAGAGTGTAACACTCAATAGCTTCCAGATCGTCACCCATCACAAAGTGTTGATTACCTGAAAATTTGTTCGTTAGAATGTATTACAGTACGTATGGGAAATAAGAAATGTACCTTCTTCTTTGAATCTAATAGAATCTTCCTTATTTTTCGTTACAGCGTGCAGAGGAGGCATCTGGGATCTGACCATATTTTGTAAAATGTGCCCAACAAGAGCTTCGCACTCCTTTTGCAATCCATATCCAACATGCGACTTATTATTTTGCTTGAGAGTTAATACAAGTTCCTTCGCAATCTCCATTCCCTCGTGTAGATAATCCTTTAGATATTATTTTACATATATATATATAT